GGGACTTTTTATTAACTTATTAACTTCAGGTTATACAGTTACAACGAGGGTACATCAAGCCACACATGTACTTTTGGTACCTAATTTAAATAGTCTGCCTGGGTTCTACACTAGTCGCCATACCTGCAACCTAACTAGGAGATTACCTGTTTAAGCTCTCTGATTATTACTAATAAGAGTACGACTAGCCATATATGCAACTTTTAGTTACCTATTTAAGTAGTCTGCCCTAGGTTCCACACTAGCTACCGTATCTGCATCCCAACTATGGGATACCCATTTAAACCCTCTGGTCACAACTGCTGTTTATTCCTAAGCTAACCAAAATGTAACTTACTATTCATATGCTAGATTTTGCGACATCTATAGATTTCGCACCCATCTTAGAACTTACTAACCATTTCTGGCTAATCTATCCACGAGGTAAACCTAACAGAGTAGTCATGTCCCACACATGTTTATATCTGCATGTTCAGTAATTTCCTACTAACTAGTACCTGTTGTGCTGCCATCACCAAGTTCGTATTTCAAGCTATTCTTTAGGATACTGCCATAACCCGATCCGTATCTCAAGCCACAACCTTCTTAATTAGTCTTTCATTACATACTCCTCACTCTTGTAAGGTTTGCACAACCCCAGTACCCACATTCAGACTTTTTTTCTTCCTTAGATTCTTTACCGGTCTTTCTTTTACTTCTAGCTAGTAACCCAGAAGGGTCAGTCTGCCCAGGCTTTAAATGCCTTATGGTCTCCCTTCCCTTGATACATGCTTCCAGAACACATGTCCTTTTTCTTTGGTTAGTGACCCGGCGGTTCAGCTAGTATGTCCCCCACTTAAGAATCTGGTCGTTTGGTTTTCTGGTCTCGGTCTCCAATTTCAAATTCGGTCTTCCTATAGCACTGTCAAAGATCATACTACTTCCCTACTCAGAACTTGCCAAATGGGTTTTTGGTAATTCTGGTTTCCTGGATTTATTGCGCCAAAGCTCCTATTCGAGATGGTGTGACCAAGATTACAGATATCTAGATCCAACTGATAATCTTAACGTTAACTGATACGGGTCTAGTATTTTCAAAATCGTCGTCTGTGAGATTCGAACTCTAGACCTGCCGTCTGGAAGTGTGACAACTCTACCACTTTACTAAGTTGCCACACCCTTCTTGGGCTAAATTTTGATTTCTCTAATTTTGCTATAGTATTTATTTCTTTTGCCTATTCCAATCTTGTATTGTAGTAATATACTCTTGTTTGAAGTGCTATTAGGTGGTTTTCTTCTGTTACAAAGCAGATACTTGCTGAGCCTCTTTGGTTTTTATTTTTATTAGCAGAGATATACTGCTTTTGCTTAAATATTTCTTAACTGTCTTAATTTTGCCATCTTAATAGCAAACAATAGTAAATTTTTAATTACTACTTTGTAATAACTTCTTTCTTTTAGGTTTCTGTATCAAATTTGTCTTGAGTTAGTCTTAGCATTTTTCTTTTTTCCGATGGACTGCTCACATACTTTGCAGCATTTTTTTTTATTTTGTATCCTTGGGTTTAATATTTACATATACTGCCTTGGCTTTGCCTTGAGGCTTAAATTGTTCTACTATTGCTTTGCTATAAAAACTTAGACATTTTTTAATCTAAGATGCTTTTATTTGTATAGGCAAATTACAGATTGTGATATTTAATATTTTATACTTTTTTGTCTCTCTACTTATATTTGCAACTATTGTTTGCCTATCCATGGCCCACATTGACTTATATATGTCATTTTTTAAATTTACTGATGTTTTGTCTATTGCTATATTCTGGGGTTGGCTTTTCTCAGATACTTTGTATTCTTTATCAGTTATCTTTATACCTGCTATTTTTGTATCTGCCAGTAGTGCTATATGCTTTAATTTAGAAGTTTCTGTTGTGTCTCTGCATATCTTCTCTTCATTGCTTTTTTGCAAGATTTCTTCTTTGACAAATAGAATATTGTTGTCTCTTTTTCTTTTG